AGTGACTAACATGAAGCATTTTTCAGTACCTTTGGCTGATTGATATCATTTCTTTTGTTGCTGGAATTGATATGATTGATACCAACAACCAAATTTAAATAATTCCCAACAGATTTTCAGCTAAAATTGAATAACATGGCGCCTGAGGGTGCCTTTTTATTCATGATAAAAATGTTGAGGTGTTGAGGAGAACAGATTTGAAGTTTATTATTAAAAGGACTAAGCATTTGTTAAGTCAGTGTAAAACTTTTGGATTTCTTTTGTTTTTTGTTTGAATAAAAGACATAAAAATCCAAATGTGTTTTAAGTAGACTGTAGGGCAACACCCAGCGTAAAATGCTAATATGCATATAGAATAAATTTAATGCTCTATAGAGCATTAAATGACATTGAAGCACATAACATTAAATTGCCATGTGCTTTCTTTCCAAGCTCCTTGGAGTATATATATATACTCCAAGGAGCTTGGAAAGAAAGCGACTGGGCTAAAGACGTCTTTAGTCTCCAAGACTGGGCTTCTTTAAGTTTCTTGAAGATGTTTCACCTCTCATCTTAGAGGCTTCTTTAGTTCACTAGGTGAGAGGTGAAACCTCTTTACGAAACTTAAAGAAGCCCAGTTGCTACCATGATAGCATGACCTTGATGACTGAGAACCTACACAGACATTGACATATATAATTACAACAGTTAAAATGTTGTAAAACTGTGTTCTCTACAACCTTGCCTGGAACAGGATTACCAGGGACCTGTAGCAGGGAGGGTGCTTGAGGGAGAACACCTGTTGACCTGGCCTTACCCCATGGGGCCTGGCCAGGCAGAGCATGAAGAGGAGACATTGGCTTGACCTCCTGTAGACCCACCACCCACAAGGAGCGCCGTAAGGGTCAGGTGCAGTGTGTGCCACGTGGTGGCAAAGGGCGGAGACCCTGGCAAACCGATTTCTGGCTACTGGGACAAATGACTGGGACATGGAACGTCACCTAACTTGTGGGGAAGGTGCCTAAACTAGTACATGAGGTGGAGAGCTTCTGTCTAGATATAGCCAGGCTCACCTTAATGCAAGGCTTAAGTTCTGGAAGCAGTCCCCTGGAGTAAGGCTGGATTATGTCCCAGTCTGGAGTTGCTGTTGGTGAGAGGTGGTGGGCCCCAGGTATCTTGGTACCCA